TACATTGGGCGCCAGCTTGGCTGTAGGAGTTGCCAGAAAGAGGCATACAAGGTGCCGTCCAACCGCCTTAAGGACTGCACTCCAGATTTGTGTAGGGTTTACTCCTTAGCAACAACAAACAAACCTATGGTCACGTAAAGCATACTCAATAAACACGCGAGACGTAACCAGCTGTGTTCTTAGATAAATAAGGTATACTATTCATAGTATCAAATTGTAAATTTCAACAGAAGTAACTCATAAAGTTCAACAAACAAACAAAGCAGAAGATCCAATGGATCAGATCATTCTATCGCCAGTTCATGCATAAGGTCCATCCCTGTAATGGTGTCTATTCCACCTGTCTGTTCGTAAAGTCCAAACCATCCACATGAAAGGTTGTTAAAAAGGTTATGGGACCCCTAACCACTAGGTCCAGTCATGAACGACTCTCAAATAAAGCTCATCTCGCTTTATTGGCCGAGGGAGCCGGCGTAACCGCTTCCGGGTCATGTGGCCAGCATGACTAAGCCGCTTCTGGCGAACCAGAGCAGCGCACGGTAATGCCGCTTACCTTCCCGTCGGAGCAGTACCTATTTATCTACTTGCACTTTGACGTGCTTTCGAACTGCTAGGTTGGCAGGAGCTGGGACCGAGCAACAGGAGATTCGAACTGCGACCTTCTGTCGGCAAGTCCTAGGCTCTGTTGTTTAACTCACAGCGCCACCCGCGTCCCTTATAAAAGGTTGTTACAGTTCCACAAAATCCTTTCACAAAGCCGCCTGCTTTGTTCATTTCTTGAACTTTACAAGTTACTTCTGTTGAAATTTACAATTTGATACAGTGGTACCTCGCAAGACGAATGCCTCGCAAGACAAAAAGCTCGCAAGACGAAAGGGTTTTTGGTTTTTTGAGTTGCTTCGCAAGACGATTTTCCCTATGGGCTTCCTTCGCAAGACGAAAATGTCTTGCAAGTTTGTTTCCTTTTTCTTAAAACCGTTAATGCAGTTGTGACTTGACTTTGAGGAGCAACTCATAGCACGCGGTGTGGTAGCCTTTTTTGAGGTTTTTGAAGACTTTGGTGATTTTTGAAGCTTTTCCAAAACTTTTCCGAAACCGTGCTTCGCAAGACGAAAAATTCGCAAAACGAAAAAACTCGCAGAACGAATTAATTTCGTCTTGCGAGGCACCACTGTACTATGAATAATATATCTTATTTATCTAAGAACACAGCCGGTTACGTCTCATGTGTTTATTGGGTTTACTCCGTAGCCTTTCTCCTCCCAAATATATCCCTCAAGCCAGTGGGTACAGATTGTTCGTCAGGGTTTACTCCTGAAGCCTTTCTCACTGCCGCAAGGCACTGGAAGCTTAGCATTAGAGTTTTCTTTTCCCTAGATGGCCTCCCTTTCCAGGTGGACAAGCCCCACCTGCCCCCTCATTTCCCTGTACAGTGCAGGCGCAGAAACCACCTTCTTGACAATTGGACCCACTCTCGGTCTCATCCGCTCAACCTGCGGAGCCTGTCTTTGCACGCAGATGAAGCCCCACTCACCAAGGGCTTGAGATCCATCGCCTGTGTGCACCTGGTTTAGCCAGCCAGTCGAAGCCATAGGTAAACTATGGAACTATGATGGCCACCAATTTGGATGGCTTTAGAAGAGGATTAGACAGATTCACAGAGGAGGAGAGGGCTATGGGTGGCTGCTAGCCAGGATGAAAACCACAGGAGGGGAGAGTTGGTCATGAGGTTGAATCCTGCCTGCTGTGGGCCTTACCCTTCTAATGTTCTTAGAATTCTTTGGTGGGAATGCCATTTGCTGTAATGGGTGTTGCAAATGCGGCCTAAGAAGGAGGAAGCTGAGAGTTCGTTGCCACGCCTTGGGCTTGTAACTAAGATGGAAGTTCGGGGCTGCTGAAGGTGGGCCAAGTTTGGCGAGGCAGAGCCCTCTCTGCCCTGACCCATCGGCCTCCGCCGGGATAAAGCTCTCGAACAAACTTCCCGTGAGGGGTACTAGAAGCCTCTGTGCTGCTTTCAGCCCGGCAGGGGGGTGTGCAGCTGTTGTTTATCCTGTAATGGTTCTGCCTCTCCGCTGGACGCTAACGGAGAGCCGCTGTTCCTCGCAAGCGGGGCTTAGCCAAGATTTGAGCGCGGCAGGATCTGATTAAGGAGCAGAGGAGAGGAATAGGAGGGAGGGAAGGAGCCTTTGTGGGAGACAATTGTGTTTTGCAAATCCCCTTCCCACGCAAGGAGTGGGTGGGGGGGGAATTAATTGTGGCCTCCGAACGCAGAAGTGCTTCTGGAGTGGAGATAAAGGATGAGCTGTGTGGGCTCCGGAGAGGCCAGCCGGCGCTCGGGACTGCGACCGAGCCTCTTCAGTCCTCCGTAATGATCTGGGTTCCTTCCATAGATTTACCACTCCTTCGCTTTTGTTCAAAAAACGAGAGGTGAATCCAGGTTCAAGTCTCTCCCTCTCCCCCCGCCCCGTTCATTTCATTTCCCCTAGCCTCAGTGGAAGCCTGGAATGTGCATTCGGATGTTTTGCAGTTAAAAAAGAGGGCACCTTTTCTTGCAAACGGAAGGCGGGTGGGTGTTTTTGCATGTGGAAGCCTGAGCTGTGGTAGGGCGCGTTCTTCTAGGCACAGAAAGCCGCAGGTTCGGTTCCCAGTTTTAAAAGATCTCGGGTGGCAGGGCAGGGGGCAGATCTGGGGAGTGCCTCTGCCAGTCAGAGTAGAGTTGCATGCTCCCCCGCTTGGCACTTTCCAGCTGTTTTGCACTACAACTCCCATCAGCCCCAGCCAGCACCGTTGTGGTCCGAAATAGCTGGAAGGCAGCAGGCTACGGAAGACTGGAGTACTGTAGAATTGTTGCAAGGGACCCCGTGGGTCATCTAATCCAACCCCCTGCTATGCAGTAGACATTACTAAGTTGGATTTGCATATTGGGAGCAGCAACGGAAGAGGTCAGATGGGCCAGATGCCATGTTGATTCCAAACTGGCTTATCTTCAGCTTGAGGAAATAATCTCAAGTAAGTTGGGATGGTCTCTATGAGGCATAAGAAACTCGGCCCTCAAGATGTTTTGGGACTACAATTCCCATCATCCCTGACCACTGGTCTTGTTAGCTAGGGATGATGGGAGTTGTAGTCCCCATCTGGAGGGCCGAGTCTGCCTATGCCTGGTCTCTGTGGAGCATCTCTTGGGACACCCTCTATACAAGTTGGGATACTGTCACAGAGCGTGCCTGTTAGTACACCACACAGTTCAAAGTTGGAATTACCTCTTTATTGGCAAAAACACCATCTCGGCAGACTCGGCTAAGGGTCAGACCTCATGAGCACAGCAGCTCATTCCCTGTGGGTCTTGCTGCCTGAAATCAGTTGCCGAGACTGAATGTCCCCTCCTCCCCACAGCCGTCTACGTCTCCTCCTCTCCAGGTCTTTTCCCAAGCAATTGGAGACTGTGCCTACATGAAGCCAACCCCTCCTCTGCCCTTTTCATGCCTCTTCTGGCACTGGGAGATGGATGCAAGGGAGCTTGTTGCGGCAGGAGGGGGAGACCCCCGTGACTCTTTCCCCGCCTGACTCATCTCTGCCCCTTGGTCTGCCTCCTCTCCTGCTTCTTCTTCTTCTGCCTCTGATTCTGAACTTTGTCAGTTTTTGTAAAAAAAAAAAAAAAGGAAAGGGAAAGGGTTCTGACCTCCCTTTGTCTCCTCAGCCTGGTCCACAGACCCTTGTTGGCATAAAAGAGTCCACAAGAATATCCTTGCAGAGTGCTTTCTGCTTTTATTCTTAAAAGTCTTTGTGCAAAAGTGACTGACCAACTGTACACACCAGCTGTACACACAGCGGGTGGCGCTGTGGGTAAAACCTCAGCACCTAGGATTTGCCGATCGTCAGGTCGGCGGTTCGAATCCCCGCGGCGGGGTGCGCTCCCGTTGCTCGGTCCCAGCGCCTGCCAACCTAGCAGTTCGAAAGCAGCCCCAGGTGCAAGTAGATAAATAGGGACCGCTTACTAGCGGGAAGGTAAATGGCGTTTCCGTGTGCTGCGCTGGCTCGCCAGATGCAGCTTGTCACGCTGGCCACGTGACCCGGAAGTGTCTTCAGACAGCGCTGGCCCCCGGCCTCTAGAGTGAGATGGGCGCACAACCCTAGAGTCTGGACAAGACTGGCCCGTACGGGCAGGGGTACCTTTACCTTTACCTTTAACTGTACAGACCAACATTACCAGCTTTCACCAACCAACCAACCCAACAACAAATGTAACATTTCTCACTCTATATATACAACCCAGTGCAGGCCGCTGACTCATGCTGGCCCAGCTTTTTAAGCATTAAAGAAACAGCGGCCATTTTAGCCGTGACAAACTTCTCTCTGCCACCGACTCTCCCAGCTCACTGAGCCCTGTTACTGTCGGAATCTGCATTCAACCGAGCTGATAAAGCTCATCCTTCTCCGGCCGAGTCCTTTGGAATCGCCCTCCGACGATAATTAACGACCTGAGCCTTTGATAAGGCTCCAGGCACATCCCCCGTTCAGCAGAGAATCAAAGCAGCACACGGAAGTGATGAGATTTATGGCTACATCGCTATGCTTTATTTCTTACTACGCAGACAGAAAACACATCCTCTCTCTGTGAAAGGCAGAGAGCAACTGAACAACAAAGGAACAGGAAACCAGTACGTCACATCCGCCTCCCGTGAGACTTCCAACAGTATGGAATGTCTCTGGAATGTAAACAGAGTCTTGTGACTCTAAGCAAACAGTGGCAAAACTAACAGTTACCCCTTCTGCTTCCGACGTCTCCTTTCCCCCGTCTCCTCCCTCTTCTCCCTCTGACTGCTCATCACTGTCCCACCACCACTCCCCGGGCTCTGATCCTTCTTCCCTTAGTGGTTTCCCAACCAGCTCCTCCCACCATTCCTCCTTGTCCAACCAGTCCATGACGGGATACCCTCCACAGAGCATCTTTTCTTGCACAGACTCCTCGCACTGACCCATTTCCCCACTTTTGCTTACAGGTGTGGGCACCAGGGACTACTACAGGAAGATCGGCTACGAACTGGATGGGCCCTACATGGTGAAAAGGCTGGACTGAGAGAGACGGGCAGAGCTGGGAGCATTCAAGGCCACGTCTTTGAACCTCGGTCCTCTTGAGGCCTCCAGGCAGAAGGGGAATGGCAACCTCCTGCTGCAAAAGGCTAGTCTCTGGGAGTACAGCCGCCTGCAATTTGAAACCTGCCTTTTTGCACTCAGCGGTGTCCCATTTTACACCAGGGATGGTTTCCTCCCCCTATTTCTAATGAACAATCACCCTTTTTAAAACGATTCTATGCTTTGTATTGGTTTTCATACATGAACACCTGCTTTTATTAGCAGGGGCCTTCAAGAGGACTAGGACCTTGAGGTGGAGATCTTTTATCAACTTGCCTTGGGCTGAGGAGTGCGTACATTCGCCTTTTTTCCCCCCTCTGCCAGGGAGGACTTAAGAGGATAATTTTGCCTGCGTCCACCTTGCTCTCTTGAAGCTATTTGCATCTGATTGGCTTTCAACCCTGCCTCTTGTCCAGAACTCCAGGTTGCAAAACTCATCTGCCCTCTCTGCATTGTGGGAGCTTAAGACCACTCTGGGTTGTTGTTTTTCGAGGATTTTGCCTGCTTTTAGCAGTTTGGCTTCTTTTGCTTCAACCCGCTCGGCAGTGGCGCATCTTTGCCTCATTCTTCCGCAAGGAGAGAAAGAGGCAGCAGTTGTAACATGTGCTGCTTTCGGAATCCCACGATGCAGAAAGTATGCAAACAGTGCCAATGTCCGCCGTGGTGTCAATATCTGCAGCCTCTTCCATCGGAGGAGAGTCGGCATTATTTTACAAATGCCCCCCCCCCTCCTCAGGGGGCAGGGACACCAAAGAGGAGGGGATCCTGGATCCAAATGCAATAGCCTCTCCTGGATGATGTAAGCTATATATTTTTTCATGTTTGCAAAAGAGCAGGACTGCTTCGTCCTCGTGCACTTAGAGCAGAGGCAGGCCCCCCCCCCGATTTTGTGGGGCTCAAACTCCCATCGATTACGGCTAGTGGGAGTTATAGTGCAGCAGGTCTCTCCCCCCGCGCCCTTGGGTCGACGTTAAGGTTCTCTGTGGTTTGCATTCATAGACGCCACCAAAGATGGAGATCGGAGAGCCAGCTTGTGAAAGATCTGGAACCTCTGCAACGCTCCTGCTAATAAATACCTAGGTGGTGGTTTTTTTGCTGTTTGGCTGTGTCTTTACAAACTGGGAGTTGGGGATTTCATCTACAGGGGCAAGGATTTCACCCCAATCTCTGTGCACGAGGCAAAAACGGGTATGCGTTCTCCTACTTTCGCTGGGGAGGGGGGCGTTTCACAAGATGCTGCGTCTCTGTGTTAAAGGGCCTTTTGCAACATCTGTTAAAGCTTCATGAACTAAGAAGAAAAAGAAGAAGTTTTATTTATACCCCACCCTCCCCAGCCAAGACCGGGCTCAGGGTGGCTAACACCAGGTATAAAAACAATTGATTGAAATACAACTTAAAAACAAGATTAAAATACAACATTAAAATGCAGCCTCATTTCAGTAGAAACGCAAATCAAAAACTTTTTAGGGATGAAAACGTCAAATCTTCACCAAGGCCAACTATCCAGACTGGTCCTACGTGGGCCAGAAAAGCCAGGGAAGTCCCCAAATAGGAGTTCCATCACAGAAGGAGAAAGGATAGAGGGGGAGGGGAGGGGATCAAGTTGATTCCAAGCCAAAGGCCAAGCGGAACAACTCTGCCTTACAGGCCCTGCGGAAAGAAATCAGATCCTGCAGGGCCCTGGTCTCATGAGGCAGAGCATTCCACCAAGTTGGGGCCAGTGTTGAAAAGACACTGGCCCTGGTTGAGGCTAATCTGACTTCCTCAAGGGCCCGGGACCTCTAGGGTGTTGCTATTTGTGGACCTTAAGGTCCTCCGCAGGGCATATCGGGAGAGACGGTCACATAGGTACGAGGGTCCTAGGCCCTCCACTGAACTGCCTCCACTGACAGCACAGCTTGGTTGGAACCAAGGCATCTGGACAGGTGAGTGAGGAAGCCACAGGAGGGGAAGTTGCTGGAAGTGACAGGAGAGGAGAGATGCTCTTGTGCTCAGGTCCTGTGTCCTGGTTCCCCTCATGCATCTGGTTAGCCACTGTGAGAACAGCATGCTGGACTCGAGGGACCGTTGGCCTGACGTGTCGGAGTCATTTTATGTTCTCATGTCCAGCATCTGGCTTTCACGGAAAAACGTCCTGCTCCCGTTCCAGCTGGCAACACTAGAGAAAGCCTTGTCTCTCTGTGCATGGGGCATCGGGAGAGATCTTTCCAATTGGAGGGAGACAACGGACAGCTCAAAGGTCTGATTTGATCCGAGTCAAACTTGAACCCGCACAATACTTGCTTTATCAAAGTGCCTCGCAACCGAGTCCTGTTCTTGAAAGGGTCGTGGGGTGGATAATGCTTTTAGTGGCCGCCGGGTCCCTCCAATTATTGCCTTCTCTCTTAAAGACTAATCCCCGGTCACGCATTGCATCTTTGACTCTATCTGCACCGCCCCCTTTCTTTGGGGGTGAGCCCCCTCCTCGTGCCCCCTTAACTCCCCATAGCTGCCTCTTAACAAAGGAAAGGGCTTTGTCCGAGCAGCAACAAATGTGAGGCCTCGACCTGTTTGTCTTGGAGGAGGAAACAGCGAGGGGAAACGGTCCCCTTCCTTCTCCGCAAAATGTCAAGGTTGCTGTTTCGGGCCGACAGGGCAATGGAGCATGGTATCTCATTTGAGGGGGGGTCAGAGGTGGCTCTCTCTGCCTCTCGCTCTGCCTTGATGGAATCAAGCACATGGAAAAAGCGCAGTTGTCCTCAGCACAAGCACAAAAGAGAGAGCATGAGACGTGCCCCGCTAGATCACGCCATTGTCCCGTCTAGGCCACCATCTCTTCCTATCAGTGGCCAACCGGGTGCCCCCAAGCATAGCTGTCAACTTACAGATATGGAAATAAGGGACCAGCAGCCTTGAAAATAAGGGATCAGCAGCCAAAATAAAGGATTTTGCTTAGCTTAGGGTCTGCCATCCTGGCGCGAGGAGTTCCATCAGCCCTTCGCCGTGCGAGAGAGAGGGAGGGAGGAAGAGCGACTCTCACCCGCGAGCCTGGCATGAGGCGGTTGTGGCGCCGCGGTGGCCGCTGAAGCGCTGCCCTTCTGCGTCCCTCCCCATCCCCTCCTCTTCCTCCTCCCTCAGGCTGCCTCCTCAGTCGCCTCCAACTTCCCCTGGCAGCGCGGCAGAAGTCTCGCAAGAGAGGGGCTGCCTGCCCGCCCACCACCACCAGTCTCCTCAAGACGTGCCCCTGAGGGGGAAAAGGGAGAGATGGAGACGTGGCAGCTCGTGCGCACGCTCTCTCACGCGGTGGAGGACCCCGAGCCGGGCGAGCATGAAACCCGGGAAATTTAAGGGACATCATCAGTCTGGGACAGAAGCGGGACACAGCGCTGGGATAAGGGAGTTTCCCGCCAAATAAGGGACGGTTGACAGCTATGCCCCCAAGCAAAGCCTGCAAGCAGGTTATGAGGGCAACAGCCACTCACTCCGCTTGTGGTTCCCAGCAAGAGGCTTTCTTTTTCCCCCCCTTTTTCTTTTTTGCAACACGCATAATAAAACTTTATTTAGAATTTGACAATAACAGAGGAAAAAACCACAGTAGTTGCTACATCAGGTCATTGCAATGATACAGTGTTAACATTTTATAAATGCTAATAAAGAAATTACATTACGTCGCTTTTAACTTCCTGAGGTCTTCATAATACACCTTTATCTCTTTTATCTTTTTCTTAACATATCGAAAAGAGAAGGACCAAGAAAAGGAACACAAAAGGAAAGAAAGGAAAGGAGGAAAAAGAGAGTGGGGGTGAAAGGAAGGGGAGAAAAGAAAAGAGGAGGAAAAAAAGCAAAACAAACGTATTTGACTTCCGATTAGACTCATTGTATTATTATTTCTACAGTTTTTTCACACACAGTTCCAAATTGTTGTATATCTTTGTTTTTATCAGATATCAAAAAACATTATATTGGTTGTTTTCCAAGGATCATTCTATTTCTGCCAGGAGATATTTGTTATTATAATACTTTTCCAAATACTCTTTAAAGATTTTCCATTCTTTCTGTACTTTCTGTTTTGGATAACTTCTAATTCTCCCTGTCATCATGGCCATCTGTAGATATTCTATCATTTGGACCTGCCTCTCATTTATCATAGGTGTTTTGTCACTTTTCCAGTTTTTTGCAATTAAGATCCTGGCTGCTACAGTTGTATACATAAAAAGTCGTCTATTTTCTTTTTTGATTTCTGGTGACATTATTCCCAGGAGAAAGGTTTCAGGTTTTTTCTTAAATGAAAACTTAAATATTTTTTTAAATCATTGTAGATGTTATTCCAAAATTCTTTAATGGCTGTGCATTCCCACCACATGTGCATATATGACCCTATACCATCTTTACACCTCCAGCAAGTTGGTGATCTGTTTTTATACCGTATTTTTCACTCTATAGGATGCACTTTTTCCCCTCCAAAAATTAAGGGGAAATGTGTGTGCGTCTTATGGAGCGAATGCAGGCTCCTTGGTTTCAGCGATAGCAACGCGAAGCCTCCGAAGCGCAGAGGGAGCGCTCCCTCCACGCTCCAGAGGCTTTGCATTGCTTTCGCTGAAGCCTGGAGAACAAGAGGGGTTGGTGCGCACCGATCCCTCTCGCTCTCCAGGCTTCAGGGATAGACACTCCTGGCTTCAGCGAAAGGAACCTGAAGCCTGCGGAGCGCAGCGGGAGGTCCCACTGCACTCCGGAGGCTTCGGGTTCCTTTCGCTGAAGCCAGGAGAGCAAGACTCAACTGGCTTCAGCAGAGAGGGAGAGCTGCGCAGCGCCCCTTCAGCAAAGTGGAAGGAGAAATGGAAGAGGCTCCGTTTCTCCTGCCGCTTCGCTGAAAGGGCGCTGAGCAGAGAGGGGGGAGAATTATTTTTTTCTTGTTCTCCCCCTCTAAAACAAGGTGCGTCCTAAGGTCGGGTGCATCCTATAGAGCGAAAAATATGGTACATCTTTGCTAGTTTATCCCAGCAAGTGGCCTTCAGAAGCATATTGCCTCTGACAGTGGAGGCAGAGTGTAGCCACTGCAGCTGGTCACCATAGATAGCCTTCTCAGGCCAAGTTGGAGCCTTGGCCCAGCCAGTTGTGGGCCGCAAGTTCTCCACCCATGATATAAATTTTAGTTTTGTGTTGAGTCCCAGGTTTTCTGTGAATGCAACTCCATTGAAGTTTTCCTTCAACTGCAGGGAGTGTGGTGGTTATTGATAGCTAGTTCCTCCTTGACCCCCTGCATCCATCCCAAAAACATGGTCAGACTTTCCAGTAAAAGTAGTAAAGTGATTGGTTGGGAGCACTGGGAGGAAAAATCACTTCCCTTTTTTTCTCTTGGGGTCCCTGCCAGGTCTCAATCGCACCAAGGGAAAGAGGTCTCTCGTTCTGGGAAAGGCAAGGCTTGATCTGATCTAGTGGTTCTCAAGCTTTTTCCTCTGCCCCACACTTTCAGAATGAGAATCTGCTCAATCCGCACTGAATGTTTCATTGATAAGAAATACATTGGGAAACAAAAAGAAACTGGTCTTGAAAGACCTACACTGGCTCCCAGTACGTTTCCGAGCACAATTCAAAGTGTTGGTCTTGACCTTGAAAGCCCTAAATGGCCTTGGCCCTGTATACCTGAAGGAGCGTCTCCACCCCCATCGTTCTGCCCGGACACTGAGGTGCAGCTCCGAGGGCCTTCTGGCGGTTCCCTAATTGTGAGAAGCAAAGCTACAGGGAACCAGGCAGAGGGCCTTCTCGGTAGTGGCACCTGCCCTGTGGAATGCCCTCCCACCAGATTTCAAAGAGAACAACAACTACAGTGGTACCTCTGGTTACGTACTTAATTCGTTCCAGAGGTCCGTTCTTAACCTGAAACTTCTTAACCTGAAGCACCATTTTAGCTAATGGGGCCTCCTGCTGCTGCCGCGCCGCCACCACGCAATTTCTGTTCTCATCCTGAAGCAAAGTTCTTAACCCGAGGTACTATTTCTGGGTTAGCGGAATCTGTAACCTGAAGCGTATGTAACCTGAAGCGTATGTAACGTGAGGTACCACTGTACCAGGCTTTTAGAAGACATCTGAAGGCAGCCCATGTTTAGGGAA